AATTTTATTCCTCCTCGTCAAATCATTGCCGGCACCTCCCGTTGATAGTCGGTGTATGCCGAATAGCCGAGGCCTTGATAAAGAACTCTCTAGCAAGGCTATTTGATGAGTTTAACAAAGGGAGGCTGCAGGAATTCGCGTGTGACAACGGCGGCATCGCGTTGATTTCGCGATTAAAATTTTATCACATTCAGTTGACTTTATGTTCGGGAGTTGCAACGCGAGTTTGTTTTGACGGTACACAAAAAATGTTTATGCACTGAAAATTAAAGCGATGAAAGGTAAAATTTTCCTGTAAAAAAAAAACCGACAATAAAAAGCAAACAGAGACGTAACAGCAAACGATGGCGTGAAATAATATAATAAGGTTTTATAGGGAGACTCAGGAAAATTTTATATTCGTAGTAAAGGGGAAAAGTTAGGAGAATCGTCAAACATCGCCTTCCCTAAACACTCGCAATGTGTACAACGAGAGTTATACATACTGAAAAGATATCGCGGATTGATCTCTGTGCTTCAAAATGTCAGATATCCTTCGTTCATCTCAAGACTCGGCGGTGAAACGCGATAAAGGAAACACGTATTGAGCACGCTTTCTCACTTCTCGCAGCCACTCGCTTCGAGCCTTCATCATTATCTCTATCTTCTCTCGATATATAAGCTCACGCCCGTTCATATCGCTTTTTCACACCCTGCTCGCTTCCTCAATCTCATATCTCAAACTCGTTCGACTTCCTCTTTCTAAGAATTTTCGACAGCGCCGAAAAGTCATGAAAAAAAAAAACGATAATTGAAAATATCGCTCTTAAAAATTGGATACTTCCGTAAAAACAAATTTTGTTTTCAATACAAAAGTTTGATAGAAAAATAATTATTTTAAGTCTTGCTACTTAATACATATATGTATATTAATAAAAAATAAAAAATGGTTAATATATTCCATAATATAAAATATAATGTAAAAGAGAGATATCCGATTAATTAAAATAGATTAATAATGCAATAATGCCCGTTTAAACATAATAACAATATCTGATTAATTAGAACAGGTTAACAAATAAAAAAAGATTGTTGAAATTACATCTTACAATCTTAAATTTCGAGATTATCATGTATTTCCAATTATCTAACTTGATTAATTTTTCTATTATGAAACTGAATAATAATTGGCTAAAGGAGGGATATAAAGAACATGGATAATATAAATTTTTATAAGATCGATTTGACAATACGAAAAAATTCATACTATTAAACGCAAAATTAAATATTTTTCTTTTTTACTTTTTTAATTAAAATAATCTTATTTTTTAATAAAAAAAATCAGAAAAGTGTTTTTAATTGAAATTGCGTTTTCATTTAGCCTTTATACACGTATAAAGCCTGCGATATTCCATAAAATATATGCTAATTAATAATTTCTTAATTTATTATCCGTTTACATATTTTTATTTAATTATTTCTGAAAGAAAAAGCTTTTTTACAACACATACAAACTCATAAATATCACTTTAATTTCTATACGCAATATTATAAGGATTAATTTTCGAACAAACATAATATTAAAATAAATAAAACAATCAACAATTATTTTATGCCTTTCTTGTACTGCCTGAGGCATTTTGCCCGTTGTCGCTTTTTTCGTCTCGTAAGCCGAGCAGTGCCGAGCTTTGATGAGCCACTATTAACGAGACTCTCTATACGTCGGATAATCCTGAATCGGTAACGACCGCCGGGAATTGGGTCAAAAGCCTGGTCAAGCGATCATTCGGCAATCGAACGGCAAATAACTATTCCCACTTGCATTCGTGCAACGCCGATTTTGTAATGATTCCGCGCACGGAAATGCAATCCACCGCATTTCTACGCGTGAAATCGATCTTTATTTTCGCGTGTGCAGCACAGAGGACAAAAGTTATGGTTGTGTTAATCGCACGGTCAACGCAACGCACATTTTGCTTCATCGATTTTATGATAACAGAGGATTGTACCAGAGCCGATTAACAAAAAAAAAAACAATAGCTTATGCTTTCAAAAATTTGTTTGCGTTCCGATAGGCACTTCGAGATACATAGATACGTAACAATATAACGACTGTCAACGGTAATGGAAGTAAGGCAAATTATACTTGTTATCTTAGTCGACTCGCGAATAACGAAGCGACAGTGTTCACGGAACACTGGAGAACGGGTTAATCGATTGAAATTTTGCATAATCTGACCCGTCATGACGTAGATGGTTTCAGGGCATTCACCGACCCGATATAGTCGAAGTTGCTTGTGTTATAATCTCGAGGGACATAGCGAAGAAGCTAACATGAAGATATCGAATTTCTGATTTGCACACGCTGTTTTCCTCAATAAAGATTAATTAAAACTCTCACATAATTTCACAATATAAATAACCTTTTCATAAACATACATATTTATATTAGATTAATATTGAGTTTAGAACAGAATCGCTTATATAAATACAGCAACCAAGAGGAATACCAATTATGTCAAAGTTATATAGATGTTAGAATAATATTTCTATATGTATTTTATTTTCAGATTGCGCGTCAATTTTTTTCGGACTTGCAACACAATCAAACTAAAATAATAATTTCACAAATGTGAAAAAATATCTGATCATTAATTTAATGTTATTACCATCTTAAACTTGTAAAAAATTTTACTGCGAAAAACATTGTCTTAATAAAAATATTTATGCTAATTTGTAATACGAAGATTAAAAATGTATATAAAAAAAAGGATAATTTTCCAAGAGAATCACACATACATATATTTATTTATTTACATATACACTCCTTAAAATTTTTAGAGTGAATTGTCACTTTGAAGAGTGAAATCTCACTCTTAAAGTTTGAAAGTTCACTCTTTATCACTCTTTTTGAAAACTGGCTCAATTTTCACTCTTTAGAGTAAGATTCCATTTCAAAGAGTTTAAAAAAAATACAATATATTTAGTTTAATATAAAGATAAAAAAATCTATGTAAAAAGAAGATAATCTTCCAGAAATTAAACATCAACGTATTCAATTAGATCTTATAACATTAAGTTAAAGTTATATACTTTATACTTTTTAATCATTGTGTTGAAAGCATTTCATCTAAGAAAAATAATCTTCATCCACATTTATACTGCTTATCAATTTGTAGTTTACAGAAGAATTTTCAATCGTTGAGCTATAATTCAGCCGATGATCGCTTCAATTTTCTATGTCACGTGTCGATTGCAAATGTGAGCATCGTCCTCGAACAAGCGGTACCATTTTTCTTACATGTGAGATTGCTGCGCATGGCTCTTAACAAACGTCAAGTCATTGTTATCAGACGTTCAGAATGAGGGGATGTTTTTCCGGCGTGAGAAAGAAATGGCAGAAGCAAAATCGATGGGTCGAGGCAACGCTGATTGATCTTGGACTATTCTCAACGGGGTTTATAAACGAAGCGCATTAAGGCAGACTAACCGCCGCTATTTAGTACTAAAGGTAAACTCAAGCGCTAAGTAATTAATTTTTAAACGGACCTTGCATAAGTTCTTCCCTGGAAAATTTTCTGAAAAAGCATTTCAGTACAGATTAATAATGGATTGCATATTCGAGCTCCAAAAAAAATATATGAATTAATAAGAAACGTTAAACGAGCGTGAGATTGATGTAAAACTATTATGTGGTTTATATGTCTATTTACGTATATCATCGAAATGAAAGATTCCTGATGGAAATTTCATAGAAATATTTTTATCTCTGAACATGATAAAAGCAATAAAATTATATGCTTATAAAAAATTCACTAAACTTGTTTCTTATCGTATGTCTGGAACGTATATTGGAACGGTTGTAATACTAAATTCGAGTTTTCATATCACATATTAAACAGGCCATGATAAATGGGATACCGAGCAACCGAATTAATCCTCCGCATTAAAAATTTGTGAGGCAACTTGTATAAAAAGCATTACAAAATGTACAGTGTGAAAGGGATAAAATTCGCGACGGTCGGTGTAACAGAACGCAGATAGCTCAATGCGCATTTAATTAGCGGTGAATTTTTCTCTGCGTTCCTCTAACGAGCGCACCGCGACGTTGTATCGCGGCATCGTAATTGAAAACGGAAGAGAAATACGAGTTAACGTCGCGTCTAAGAGTGGAAGCAAAAAAAGAATCTACTATACGTCTGCTCATCGAGGACGGTCGCATATATCCGGTTTTCGTTAACTGTTTGCGACTCGATTTGCTCGGATGCATGTCACTCGACGTACCGCGTAAATATCGCCGGGAAATCGTATTTACTCGCCCAGTAACATATGTACATGATACACACAAACGAGGACATTGCAAATTTCCGCTATTCATCCTTATCTTCTACTAACGTATATTTATTATCATAGCTAATAAATATTTCAATTTCATCAAGCCATGCATTCACTCCTCATTAATTTATACTCATATTATGAATAGAATTCAACGATAATATGATTGTAATCTTTAATTCGTAATTATGTTTTAGTCTAATTTCTCACGTGTTATTAATATATATATGTAATATTCTTCAATTTACCGCAAATTGAAGTAAGAAGCCAAAAGATAAAATAGAACGGAGATTTGATTGAATGTGATTTTCATGAATGTCATTTAAGCAATTACAGACGAGAGAGCTCCCTCATGTCATTTTCCAAGAAAATACGTGTCTCGAATAGATAAAAAAATCCGAATGACTATTTTTACAATCATACAATATGATTTGCCTTTGCTCCTCTGCCTTCACCTATTCCATTATCGTTCACGGTGTCACGTCTAAATTGAATAGATTGCATAAATTACACTTGTCGTATTCATGCCGGCAATTATTCAACGCGCCACTGCAAAATCTCGCAGCGAGACGTATGTTCCATGCTCTATTAAAGGACAGAATCGTTCTCTTTGCAGAACGCAACCCGGTTTCCAAACACCGCGTTCTTGCATTTCTCATGTCTCCGAGAATCCGATAAAAACCAACCTGGTTGCTCCAGCGCGAAGTCCGTCCTGGGTCATCCAAAGAGAGAGAGAGAGAGCTCTTCCGGGCGGATCGAAACGCAGCTACAGCTTCTATGGTACGGGACACCACCGCCGCGCCGCCCTTCTTCTCTTCGGGGTGGTTCGCAGCTCGATAGAAGCGAAACAACTCCTTCGGCACTGCACACCGCCAATGTAATACGCGACGAGAGCGGGACGCCTCGTGTACCGGCGATTACCGAACGTGCGATCCATGCAACACTCTCCGCGAAGGCGTCGCGACGCTCACTGCGGAGACTCCGTCGCGTACCCGCCCTTATAGCATCGTGTTGCGCTCGCACTGCGCCCCCTGTGCCCCCTAACCACCCTTCCACCTTCCTAGTCCGCCGCACCACCGCCGCTACTCTCTCGCTTCACGATCCCCTCTCCAACGCCTCGCACAACCCTCAACCCTCTCTCACGGCCCACCTTACGGGGGATAACGCGAGTGCTCGTTCGAGGAACCAACCGATGCATTCTTCGGAGATGCTTCGTCGCTTGATGCTGCGAGCTCCAGGTAGGAGCGAGGGAATGGATTTCTTCGTGCTCCTTCGGTTACTCAATCCTTTGTTTGCGATTGCATTAAAGCGGAAAAATACGCTTCGCCATATCCTATGCTCGCGACGTGCCACTTTATTGTTGTCCCATCGGTGTAGACGATACGTCTCAAGGATACGCGTATCAAAGATTTGACTTGGGTTACTGATCTTTTTGCGTAACTTCTGCACTTTCGACGCTGGTAAAACAGACAAGTAAAACCATTGTAAAAAATTAATATGACGAAATGTGTTCCGTAGCAAAATATACTCGAGAGACGCATGAGATTATTTTTTTAATTATTTTATTTACTAGACACTCGACACTAAATAACATTAACGTGGCAGTACTCATATATACATTTTACGCTTCGTCCTCATAAATGGCCAAGTCGTTCGTCATAAAGCCCTTCCGGAGGTATTGTAACGCGGTACACGTCAGCCACGTGCCTCAGAAATGGCTGAGATATTTGTGCGAATTTTTTTTTTTCAATATTTTTTATATAGGATCAATTAAAAAGCGTGCAACGCATTTTCCGTTGAGGCAATTAAATTAAAAGTCCTACGTCTAAAGAGAAGTAATTTCTTTTACGGCAGGCGGACTCGCGTATCAGTTTATGGAACAATGCAGCTGCTGAAGGGATAAAAGTGTCCCTATCTCGAGAGTTTTGGCACTAACAAAGTTATTTACCGCGTCAGGCGCAAATGCCAATTTAAGAGGTAACCGTTATAATGACGCTAAAGTCAAACCGGCGAGCTGATAAGATTTAACTTGTTGAGCGCAGCGACAGACATTGGGCGTACCTCGCTAGCGAGAAAATACATCTCCGTGCAACAAGAAACTTTAACTCTGAAAATGGTTCGGAACATTTCTAGATGTCAGCGAGTTAATTCCGACATTTACATTTACGTCACCGTATAAAATTGATCGATAAAACGCTGATTTTCCGACAGTGACAAGTTTGGTAAGGAAATGTATTTTTATTTGTGCGCGAATACATTTTTTTTGTTCTTCGAATTAAGAGAAAATTGTAAAATCGAGCGTAATGATAATTGAATTATTTAAATTCATTATCATAAAATTCCTCTCTGAAGAACTGATATTTTTTTACAATAGCTCTCTGATTTATAAAATTTTAAATGTAACAGATAACAACTATATCAGTGCACAATAATAAAAAATTAAATCATCCAGATATTTATAAATAACAGAAGTAAAATTATATCTACTTGTTAAATTTTTATTATTTTATATCTATTTTAAACTTTCTATTGTTATATTTATTTTAAATTTTTCTATTTCTCATAAAAAATATCAATAATATTTATTATCCAAAAAATATTAATATAGCATGTAAATTAATTTCTAGATTTATACATTTTCTTTTTTAAGAAAAATGAACTTGAAAAAAAGTCTTCTTTTCGATACTGTGATATCTTTTATATTTCTTTAAACTTTTAGCATATCTATTTCTGTGACGAATGAACAACGTATGATGACATTATAGGACTGATGTTACATTCAACTTTCTTTTACGACAAGACATATACTTGTACGACACGTACTGTCGCTCTAGAAAATTGCGATCTTGAGTAAGGTCGACACGCATCACATTCAGTAGGATGCTCATAAAATCCTTATCTACTTAATACCTAAGAGATGAAGATATATATCGTGACTTAATGTCAATGGTAACACAAAATATTCTTTGTGATAATGTATCATTTAGTCTTATCAAATATGTTTGAAATATATATATTCGCTAAAAAGAAATTGGTTACAACTTATCTTAAAAGCAGAATTCTGTCGCTAATTTACGCTTTTTGCGGACACTGTATCTATCATTCTGACACAAACCGTATTTTAGACCGTTAGTCTTCCAGCATCATTAATTTAGCCATCGTAGGGACACACGTATCATGGTATCTAGACTCATCGGAAAGGAAAAAAAAGAGTCGGAGCTCAAAGAAGCGTTTCTTTCGAGGGTTAAACTTCTTCGTTCGTGACATGACCCTAACTATCTCTGTCAAGCGACCAATTGGTTATCCAGTTACGCTTTACTTGAACATCACTTTTATGCTTTTTTTTTTATTGATGACCTGTGAAATGTTTACAATAAGATTTTTAATCCGGGAATAGTCACTTGGAATATTTTTGCACTTCAGCGATGAAAACATTTAACTTTGTTATAAAATATCATTTGTATGGATCGTTTAACTTCTGTTGTAATATTATTTATATGGAATGTTTAACAATTACTTTGTATGGATCGTTTAACACATTTCCCTTCTTTTTTAATAATTATTCTTTATTTTTATATATGCAATTCTATAAAAATGCGCAATAAAATAGCGGGTATTTTAGAATTTATTTATTAAAATCTATATATTTTTTTTAAATACTGTCATAATAAATTACTTAACGTGGTTATTCCATTTATTATTTGTTCTATTTTTATTTATATTTTTCAGAAAATTGTAATTAAGTCTATATCTGTAGTATTCTCAAATAGTTATTAATAACGATAAATAAAAAAATAACTTACAATATGCAGTACGTTTTTAATAATTTTAATTGAGGTATAAAAACAGTTCAGATAATTATTTAGTAAAAAAAATCAGATGACTACTCCCAGATTAAGCAAACGGAAAGAAGATTTAACTTTTTTTGTTATTAAAGATTATATTATATTATATTATATAATAATTAGTACGTAATGTATTTAGCGTTAAAAAATATTTAAAAAATTACAAAAAGATTTTTAAAAAATATGTAATGCTTAAATACAATGAATTAATCAGAAAATTCTTTCTAATTTAATATCCTATTATAATTTAATTTGATGAAATAAAATTTTTCAAAACGATTCAAAAACTTCACTTAATAACCACTCAAATACTTTTTCCAATAAATTATATAATTATTTTTAAATTTAACAAAGATATTACTTTTTAGTGGTACACAAAGTGATATATGTACCAAGAAATAAATCCCAACGTATGATTTTTGCCTCATTGGTTAAGGAAAAAGAACGTGCGGTTTATGCCCTTAAAAAGCAATTTTTTCAACGATCCACGAGACAGTCCTTCAGTTTCCGGCTGAAAGGATATCTAATACCTGAGTCTAGTGACCCTCTGTGATTATTCTTAAGGACGCGGGACGAAATTCAACAAGATCAATGTGAAATATCTTATTTATTCGATAACAATTTTGCCTCTTCCGGCGAGGAAGCACGACTGCGAAGTTAATGTACAAAAATTATTAAGTTCTGTTGTACACACCTAATATAGGTGCTGGTAACTATTTACAGCTCTTTCAAATATTACTAGAAAATTCTTAAGAAACATAATATAATGGTATTTTTGATCAATAATCTCGATTTCGCTTCAACATTCATATTCGACGCGCCATTCATACAGCGCGAAGTTACGTTTAAGGCACTATTATCAAAATATACAGACGGATGTAAAAATCATCACACAATAACTAAACTACGGGATAACAATTCGAGGTATATTCGCGCGAAATACAAGCCGGAAGTTACGTGAATACGCGATCAATGAAAAAAGAATCGACAGTGTCGCGAAGAAGTCACAAATCGCGAGTCTCTGCTTTCTTCGAAGAGTTCTTTCTTCATTTCTATGCTTTTTAGCTCCCTTATATCATGGAATAGTCCTCAAGCAGAATCTCGCCAAAATGTGTTACGACGTAATCGTGATAATACATCATTATACAAAGTGGTTGCCCGATGATGAGACTTGCCCATACGACGATGTTGCCCCATCTGGCGCCACAGTATCGTTCCGCCATCTTGCTCAACACCGACAGTGGTAGCTAGAATGAACAATTAGCGTTGCACGACCGGAATTTCCGTACTTAGGAACGGACAGGGTAGATCTTGTACGTGCATACAAGATGTAGTGCATCACGTAATTTCATGTAAAGCATAGCAAATGATGTTGCAACGTCTGAAATCCCGGAATATGAAATCTACATGACAATTAAAGACATATTAACCGACGTCTATTAAGAGAGTAATTTAACCCCAATTACTTTATATAATATTCTTTATACATATTCTTCCTTTGATTATGTTTAATTTATTTGAAATTACAGCTTGACTGAATCCTTTATCTTATTTTCCAGGATCCAACAGCAATCTTCAGCAATCCAGAATATTATTGTCTAAAGCCGAAGAGAGTCTTTGAGGAATCAACAAGAATTTCTTGACAATAGAGTCAATATTTGCACAATCAATAAGAGGCACAAAGCGAAAGCAAGGAGTTCTTACCTGCCCCATCATACCCATAAACGCCCATATCTTGAACGTTCTTAAGGGTACACTGACGAGATACTCATGGAAGAAAGCGCTAATAAAGAAGACAGTCAACGACGCCGTGGTTTTACCATAACCCATTTCTACTATCGGAATATAGAGATGTCTGTAACATAAATGTATCATCAATAAAATACAATATATTCAAATTATAAGTGGAAATTAGATTGATAAGAGTAAATCAATTAAGGCTCTGTTTTTGTTGGTTAATTTAGACGGTTAGAGTTAACTTAATGGTAATATTAAAATCGCATTTTTCTATTTATAGTTAATCACTGACGATTTTGTAGTAAATAACTTTTAAAGTTACGAAATCATTAATTTTGTGATTAATCATAGTTAAAAAAATACAATTTTTACATTATCATCAAGTTAAGTGAAGTTAAGTTTTA